ACCTTGTTGATCTGGATGTACTGAACGCTCTGCAAGTCATTTGTTATACCTTGTTTATCCAGATGTACTGCACTCTCTGCCCTGAGTCATTTGTTACATTTATCTCTCCTGAAGTACTGAATAAAAGGTGCGGTAAGCTGGGGACTTTTGTCTTTGCCACTCAGAGAAGCACTGATCAGACCCAAAGCTCAGCTTCCTCTCAAAGTCTCATTTTTCTACCTTTCCTGTATAATGAGTTAATTCACCTTGTGCTGTCATGGCTCTCAGGAGACTAGGACTTACTGCAGGGGTTCTAGTAACATCGCCTTTCTCTGTTCTTTACCTTAGGTGCACTATGTGGATGTGAATCGGATCCAGGTGTGAACTCGCCTGTGAAATAGACTCAGAGTAAAAGAGAGAATGCATGGATCTCCCAGGATGATTTCTGGACTCAGATGAGGCACACTGGTGGTAAGTGTGTCCAGCTGGGGGTAATTTTCTATTTTTGCTGAGTTACAAATATGGGTCAGTCTCTGTCATCAGAGCAGTGTAACTTTGCCAAATTACTTAAATCACTGTTAAAGCAAGCTATGTATCCAGTACCAAAGGATGCTGTGATAGATTTGTTAAAAGATATACAAATGTACATCCCATCTTTTCCCCAGGAAGGGACAACTAACTTAATAGCATGGGAATCCATAGGTACCATTCTCTGTGAGGCCTGGCAAAGAAGTGATCGACTCCCCCCTCCCAAACCCTACCCACTTGGGCCTTAGTCCACTCTGCTCTCAAGTTCTCTCAGTTCAGGAAACATCAGCTACCCCTCCTCCAACCTGCCCTTCTGTCCAGGCTTCCCATTGTTCAACTTCTTCCCCACTTTGCTTTCAGCTCACTGAGGCTTCTGCTCCAGCACCACAGCATACTGAGGAAGACCCTAATTCTCTAGGCCCTCAGCCATCTCACAAAAGCCTAGCTGCCCCCTATTGAGAAGCCCACTTCTGGGACCACTCCCTATTGTCATACCCTGCAAAAGGCTGTGACATCAAACAAGGTGGTTGGAGACCCTTTGTGCTTTGCTATCTCAATTTTGCCTGATCCTCAGAGGTGGACATGTATGTTCATGCCTCATTTGATTTTAACATCCTAAAGGAGCTCAGGCAGAGTGTGTTAATTAATGGTGTCCAAAGCCCCAATACAGTGGGTTTGTTGGACAATGTACTTCAGACTTATTCTCCGGTTCCACATGATGTCTTTCACCTTTCAAAAATGTGCCTGTCCCCCACTCAGTATCTCCACTTTGAGGTAGAACTGCATTCATTAATCAGGGACCAGGTTCATAATAATGCTCAGGGAAATGCTCAGTCAAGAGAAGTTACTATTGATATGCTATCTGGCTTGGGTGATTTTTCAGATTTAAGCAGGCAGGCCTCTTGCCCAGCGTTACTCTTTCACCAGCTAGAGGACCTCCTGCAGAGGGCTTGGGCTTCTGTGCCAGTTGATGGTGCGCTGATGAAATCTTTTACTCAAATCATGCAAGGGCCATTGGAACTTACACAGAATTGGTAGCGAGATTACAACAAACTATCAGGAGAAAGATTTTTAATTCCCAGGCAGCAGACATCCTGATTTTACAGCTAGCCTATGAAAATGCTAATATGGATTGCAAACAGGCAATAAATCCTGTTTGCTTCACTAAAGATCTTGGAGCGTATATTAAGGCATGCCAGAATATTGGGTTTCCTTTGTACAATTTGGCTCTGATGGTTCAAGCCATCTCCCAACATTTAAGCGGTACACACAGTGATTTAAAATGTTTTAATTGTGGAAAATTGGGGCATCTCAGAAAAAACTGCAAAATGAAAGTGGCTTTACAGGCTGACCCAGAGCCACTAGGCCAGGCATCCAAAGAAAGTAAGTCACTGCCTGGCCCTTGCCCTCGCTGTTGAAAAGGCATTCACTGGACTAAACCCTGCCACTCCAAATATGGTAAGGATGGCACATTGCTGCCAGAAAAATGGAATTTGGCCCCAGGAAACTATAGGAGATCAGGACCAGGGGGCTTCAGTCCCCTGCATCACCAGTACTGGTTCATACCCATGCACAAGTGGAAAATCAGATGGCATGGGTGTCTGGAGGGACATTTCTTCCCTCATTAGGGGAACACTCAGGAGCTCAGGAATAGATTACCCTGATGCTCAGAAAGTTCACCTGCTGTAAGATGAGTCACCAGTATCTGTCCCCACAATAACTCATGGAGGACCCCCAGCCCCCAGAACAATTGGTTTGATACTTGGAAAATTCTCTCTAACTTTGAAAGGAACTACGGTTATTCTGGCTATTGTTGATTCTGATTGTACCTCTGAATTGTGTGTTCCTGTTAGCTCCACAGGACTTTGGGTAATAGAACAAGGAGATCATATTGCACAATTGTTGCTCTTGCCTTAACCAAAATTAAATAATGTTAGCTTTAAAAATTCCCTAGAGGATCCTCAGCCAGAAATTCCTCAAGGAGAGATTTATTTCACCCAAAAGATTTCCAGAAGCCACCCTATGTGCAAAATTACATTGAATGGCAAATTCTTTACAGGATTGATAGATGTGGGGGTGTACATGTCCGTGATTGGGACAAGTTTTTGGCCATCATCTTGGGGGGGGGGAAACAACTGAAACATCTCTGGTAGGTGTTGGTGCCTCCCAACAAGTTTTGCAAAGGTCCATTCCCCTGCATTATGAAGGACCTGATGGTCAATTGGGACACATTTGTCCTTACATAGCCCCCATACCTGTAAATTTATGGGGCAGAGATTTATTGGAAGAAAGGCATGTTGTAGTGACAACTTTGCCCCCAGAAACCTCACTGGGTCAACACATGATGTCTAACATAGGCTATGAACCAGAAGTAGGATTAGGCAAGCAACTTCAAAGCAGAATGCAGCCTATAGGACAGCAACAGAAGAATAATCACCTTGGAATTGGATGCAATAAAAAATTTTTAGTTGGGGCTATTGAAGAAGTTTCTCTGCCCCAGGGAGCTTTGCCTTTACAATGGAAATTGAATGAGCCCATTTGGGTTGATCAATGGCCACTACCACAGGAGAAACTACTCATTTTAGAGTAACCTATCTTAGGACAACTTAACAAAGGGCATTTAAAACCATCCATGAGCCCTTGGAACACACCCATTTTTATTATTCCAAAAAGGCCAGGGAAATGGCATTTTCCTCATGACTTATGGACAGTTAATGCCAGCCTCATTCCCATGAATGCATGGCAACCTGGCTAACCAACCCCTGTGCCAATTCCCCGGAAGTGACCACTTTCAGATTTAGAAGACTGCCTTTTCAACATTTCTCTGTGGCTGACTGACTGACCTCGATTTCCTTTTTATTGGGTTAGGTCTAAAATAGGGATAGCAAATTTTCCATTGCTAAATTTATATGAAATATCACAGGGAGATTCTGATCTTAGTTTCCCTCGAAGATTAACTCCAGAGGCACAAAAGGAGTTACAATTAATAGAACAAAGAATACATAACTGGCAGGTTTTTCTTATCAACTCTATCCAGTTCATTTGTTTGTGCTTAACAACCCCCACTCACCTACAAGTTTAATAGGACAATGGTATGAGAAACAGGTCTTTCCCATGGAATGGTTGTTTTTATCTAACCAGTTAGTGAAATCTCTACAATTATATCTAGAGAAAATTGCAAAAATTGTTTGCTTGGGATGTAATCATACCCGACAATTATTTGGTGCTGACCCTCATTTCATCATTATCCCAATTGATAAGGATCAAAAGGACATGCTGCTATAAAAGGCTTTGTACTGTCAAGTAGCCTGTGCAGATTTCATTGGACACATAGATAATCATTACCTTAGTGATCCTCTGTTTCAGTTTTTGGGGGGGACTTGAGTTTATTCTCCCCAAGATTACTCAATTTCAGCCATTGCAAGGTGCCTCAACCTATTTCACGATGGCTCCTCTAAGGGCCAAGCAACAATTTGGAGCCCTTCCTTTAGTTATGTGTTCCCTACACCTGGTCTGTCTGCTCAGAGGTCAGAGTTTCTAGCCATTTTATTTGTGATTGAAAAGTTCCCTTCTCAACCTTTTAATATTTTAAGTGATTCCTCTTGTGCAGTTTGTTTGACTCAAAGACTGGAAGGAGCTATGGTCTGCTCTATCTTAGAGCCTAAATTATTAAACTTGTTTTTAAGATTACAAAAGGCCATACATCAAAAAATTCCTTCTGCCTTAATTAATTGGGGGAGAGGTTTTGCCTGTGTCCTGACCAATAATGATGAAATCTTGTGGCTGCCCTCCTGGAACGTGAGACCATGGGTCATGCTGGTAGAACCACCAACATATCCAAGAATGTGTGATAGCACCCTGGCTGAGAGCGATGAGCCAGCTGCACCTAAGGAACCCAACTCACCAGCAATGACCTGTAAGACACAGATGAGACTTAGCACAATTAATGCCATCTTGTTACAGGCCCTCCATCTTGTCCCTGTGGGTTTCAGATTCACTACAGGACACAGAGTTCCTAGGATGTACTTGTTTATCTGTTAAGACACCAGGAATGTACCATTGTTTCTGTGTAAGGAACATCCTGTTTGCTAAGTAAAGAACATCTGCAACCCCCCCCCAACCATCTCCTAACTGCAAAAATTCTGCTTCTGTAGTTCTGCTTGCTAAGCACCTCTGCAGCCCCTATAAAACCTTCCAACCCCCTGAACTCGAGGCCCTCTCTAAGCCTGTTGCTTGGGGAGTGCCATCTGGCCAGACTAATAAAGGTCTGTTTTACTTTTCCAACTTGTCAGGTGTGTTCCTTCCTTGGTGTTCTTTGCTGCAGTCAGCTCCTCAGGGTGTTTGGTAAGGCCCTTGGTCTTACATTTTGGAGGCCCCGGCGAGATCCCCGGGTAGGAACCCCGGTTCAGCCGAGACTCTGTGGCGGGATCCAGCAGGAGACTCTCAGGTACAGACCTCAGAAAACCTCCAGAGGTAAGTTTTTGGCTGGTTGCAACCATTTGTTAAGTCAGGAGTGAAGTGACTGACAAGCCAGGAAGCCTCCCCTGACCCCAAGTTTCCTGATGAGGAACAAGGAAAGATTTAGTTTCAGTTTTTCATGGTGCCCATTTGTCTCATCTTTTATGTGTTAGTGTTGTGTCTGTTGTTTGTCTGACTTTGCATTCTTTTCAGTCCTCATCAGGAGCAAAGTGATGGGAGGATCCTGCTCTACCGGGTCCACTCCACTTGACTGTTTTCTCACTAATTTTAAATTGGCTTTTTCTCCAGAACAAGAAGATGAATATGGGGAAAAATTTTCTCGCAAAAGACTTCGCTCCCTGTGCCAACTGGAATGGCCAGCCTTCGGGGTAGAATGGCCAGCCAAAGGGACTTTTGACCCCAGTATTTGCCAGAAGGTGTGGGGCAAAGTCACCGGTTGCCCTGGCCACCCAGACCAATTTCCCTACATAGACATCTGGGTTCAGGCTTGTGAGGAGCCTCTGGGTTGGCTGCAGTGCTGTTCTCTTCAAACAGACACTTGCATTTTAGTCCCTGCCCTGAAAGGACACTGGGGACTTAAGACCCGGGCTCCCAAGCCAGTACTCTCACAGGAACCTGACCCCCTAGATCCCTTGGGAGGGCCTCTGCCCTATGTGGAACCCTCCAACTCCTCAGATGAATCCCATTCTAGACCCCAAACTCCTTTCCTTCCTCCATCTGTTCAACCTTTGGCTCCTACCTCTCTCTATCCTCCTCTCCCTGAGGGGCCCCACTCTCTAGACTTGGTGACTTCTCCCCCACACATGTGAGCTGGGGCTGCGTATGGACCTAGTGAGTTCCCTGCGGGGGAAACTAGTTTGGCTTCTCTCTTGCCCCTTCGGGAGACTGAGCAAGGTCACTATGTTTATATCCTTTTCACTACCAGTGACTTATACAATTGGAAACACCAGAATCCTCCTTTTTCAGAGAAACCCCAAGCTCTATCTCTCTCCTAGAGTCTATCTTTCATACCCATGATCCTAGTTGGGATGATTGCCAACAACTCCTCCAGGTCCTTTTTACCTCAGAGGAGAGGGAAAGAATCTGGGGCCAAGCTGTAAGGTCAGTATTAGGCAGAGCAGAGGGCCCCCTAGATGAACAGCAGTGGGCCTGTATTGAGGCACAACTCCCATCCACCCAACCCCGTTGGCAAGTTAATTCCTTGGGTGGGAGAGAGGCTCTCCAGAACTATCATCAGCATCTCCTGGCCAGCCTGAGGGGAGCCACTTGGAAGCCTACCAATTTGAGCAAGGTAAGCGAGGTCCTTCAAGGATCAGAGGAATCCCCTTCTGCCTTTGTGGAGCATCTGTTGGAAGCATATCGTACATATACTCCAATTGATTCAGATGCCCCTGCAAATCGGCAGGCAATAAATTTGGCATTTGTTACCCAGTTGGCCCCAGACATTAGAAAGAAGCTGCAAAGGCTAGAAGGATTTGAGGGAGAGAATAGAGAAAAGTTGATGAGTGTAGCCATGAAGGCATTTAACAACAGGGATCCTCTGGAAGAGAGAATGGCCAAGAGGCTGGGAAAAGTGACCATAGCCACTTTGGCTGATGGAGTATTTGTCCAGAAAGAAAGACCTGAAAACAAAGGAGGGAACAAGGGAAAGATCTGACCCTTATTAGAAAAAGATCAGTGTGCCTATTGGAAGGAAAGGGCCATTTTAAAAGGGACTGTGAAAAGCTAAAAAGAAAAAGAGAAAAGGAGGCTCAAAAGGAAAAAGGTAGAATCCTTTTAGTAGATGAAGAAGATTGATGGGCCAAGGCTCATGGCCACTTAACCCTAACGAGCCTATAGTGGCTTTGGAAATAGTGGGAACAGATGTCCAGTTCCTTGTGGACACTGGAATAGCCTACTCTGTCCTGAAGACCCCCTTTGGAACCCTCACTTCCTTAAAAACCTCCATTACTGGAGCCACAGGAAAGTCGGCCTCCTACCCTTGGACCACTAAGTGAACTGTAAATCTAGGAAAAGGCACCGTCACCCATTCCTTCTTAGTTATCCCTGAGTGCCCATACCCATTGGTGGGAAGAGATTTGCTAAGAAAATTGGGGGCTGTTATTTCCTTTGAGCCTGAAGGAGAGACTTTCGAACTCAAGCCACCCTCTGCCATTATGGTAACATTTCCCCTAGAAGATTAATTTAAATTGCTAAAGGAGGGCACAGAGCCCCCCGAACAGAAATGGGACTACCTTCAGAAAAAGTTTCCCCGGGTATGGGCTGAAACCAATCCACCTGGGCTGGCCAAACACCATGCCCCAGTGGTGGTTCAATTGTTGACCTCTGCTACCCCTGTCTGTGTGTGACAGTACCCCCTCCAGCTGGAGGCCAAGGTGGGGATCTCCAAACACATCCACTGACTCCAGGAAGCTGGCATCTTGGTCCCTTGCCAGTCAGCCTGGAATACACCCCTGCTTCCTGTGAGGAAGCCTGGCACCTCAGACTTCAGAACAGTACAGGATTTGCGGGAGGTAAACAGCTGGGTGGAGACTGTCCACCCAATGGTACCAAGCCCCTATACACTGTTGAGTCTCATCCCTCCTGCTCATGTGTGGTACTCGGTATTAGACCTCAAAGATGCATTTTTCAGCCTGCCCCTAGCACCAGTGAGCCAGCCCCTCTTTGCCTTCAAATGGACTGACCCAGACACCAGGACTACTGTACAGCTGACATGGACCTGGTTGCCACAGGGATTCAAGAACTCCCCCACTCTGTTTGGAGAAGCTCTCAGCAAAGATCTACGAAAGCTAAGGAGAGTTTTTCCCCAAGCAACTATTCTTCAGTATGTAGATGACCTCCTAGTGAAAACTTCGACCGATGAAGAATGTCTTGTGGCCACTGAGGGCCTCCTGGAAGTCCTCCAAGACCTGGAATATCGGGTGTCTTGGAAGAAAGCTCAGCTCTGCCAGACCAAGGTAACCTACTTGGGCTACATTCTTGAGAAAGGAAAGAGGAGGCTGGCAGAATCAAGGGTATCAGCAATTCTCCAGATTCCGGAGCCAAGCTCAAAGAAACAGGTGTGAGAATTCTTAGGGGCTGTTGGGTATTGCAGAATTTGGATTCCTGGCTTTGGTGAGATTGCCGACCCCCTGCATGAAGCCACTGTTGGGGGAAATACGCCCTTCAAATGGACTGAGGCTTGCGGGCAGGCATTTCAATTGCTCAAGACTGAGCTTGCATCAGCACCAGCCCTGGCATTGCCAGGCTTAAACAAGCCCTTCACTCTGTATGTAGTGGAGAGAAATGGGGTAGCCAAGGGAGTGATTACTCAGCTTTTGGGACCATGGAAGCAGCCAGTGGCATGCCTCTCGAAGAAACTAGACCCAGTGGCCTAAAGGTGGCCTACCTGTCTGAGGACGGTAGCAGCAGCTGCCGCTCTAACCTGAGAGGCTGACAAACTGACATTCGGACAGGATTTGACTTTGATCACTCCCCATGCCATTGAGCCCTTGTTGAATAGCTTGCCTAGCAAATGGCCGTCTAATGCCAGACTGTTACAATATCAAGGACTCTTGTTAGAACAGCCACACATTAAGTTTACCACCACCACTAGCCTCAATCTGGCTACTCTACTCCTGGAATCCGATGAACAGATGCCCATCCATGATTGCCTCAAGACTCTTGAAAACTTGAGGGGAGGGCATCTGGATTTAATGGACCAGGCTCTCCCCCAAGCAGAGACAATGCTCTACACTGATGGGTGCAGTTTCGTGCATGACAGAGTGCGGTATGCTGGGGCAGTGGTGGTCAACCAGGACCAACAGGTGGAATGGGAGCAGGGGCTACCCCAAGGGACATCAGCACAGAGGGCTGAGCTGATTGCTTTGACTAAGGCTCTGGAACTGGGGAAAGGCAAAAGGATAAATATTTTCACTGACAGCCATTTTGCTTTTGTCACCACCCATGTGCACAGGGAAATTTATCAGAACTGAGGGCTGCTGACCTCTGAAGGAAAGGAAATTAAAAACAAGACTGAGATACTGGAATTGCTACAAGCCATCTGGTTGCCCAGAGAGGTTGCCATCATCCATTGCTGTGGGCACCAAAAGGGGTCTAGCCCCGAAGTGATTAGTAATAATGCTGCTGATCAGGCAGCAAAACAAGCTGCCCAAAGATCAATGGTGAAGCAAATGGTTTTGCTTTCCATGCCAGTACTCCCAGAAAAACCTGAATACACAGATAAAGAAGTAGCAGAAATGAACAGGAAATGCTGGACTCAAGGTAAACATGGGTGGTGGATGACTAATGATGGAAAAGTGGTGCTCCTAGCCCCTGTAGCAGACACTTTGCTGCGCGATCTACATGATTCCACCCGCCTTGGTGAGAAAAGGATGATGGTTGCCCTGCCTCCCCATTTCATCAGCTAGGGATTGGCCCAAAAGGCCCAGGACATGGTGAGATGGTGCCCCACCTGCCTCAAGGTAAATGCAAATCGGGTGACAGAACCCCCCAGAGTCTGACACAGAGGATTAACTCCAGGAGAACATTGGGAATTGGACTTTACTGAAATAAAGCCTGGCATGTATGGGTATAAATATTTACTAGTTTTTGTGGATACCTTTTCAGGATGGATAGAAGCATACCCCACTGAGAGAGAGACAGCTGAAGTAACTGTCAAAAATCTCTTGACAGAAATAGTTCCTCATTTTGGGTTGCCCCTAGCCCTGGGATCTGACAATGACCCAGCCTTCATGGCTAAAATATCTAAATTGATTGGTAAAGCTCTAGGGATAAAATGGAATTTACATTGTGCCTATAGGCCTCAGAGTTCAGTGCAAGTAGAGAGAGTGAATCAAACTTTAAAGGAGGCCCTATCTAAATTATGCCTGGAGATTAAACTGGGTTGGGTAGAGCTTCTCCCCTTTGCCCTTCTTCACACTAGGTGCACTCCTAAGCCGTCCCTCAATCTGTCACCCTTCCAGATCATTTATGGGTGATCTCCCCCAATTGTCCCCCTGGTTGATTTGGAGTTGGGGAAAAAGCTTTCCCACCTCCAGCTCCTTAAGTCTTTAAAGGTTGTCTATCAGCTTCAGTCAGAATTACATGATAAATTGAGAAAGACCATGCCTTACCCCAACAAGAAACCTCTACAACCCTTGCCTTATAAGCCAGGAGATTTGGTTTTTATTCACAGGTTTGATTCCAAGACCCTGGAAGCCCATTGGAAGGGACCGTTTCCCCTTGCCCTGGTGACTCCCTCAGTGGTGAAGGTAGCTGGACACTCTGCCTGGATCCACCCCAGCCATTTGAAGGTGGCACCCGCTGAGGAAGTGGTGTTGACATGGTGGATCAACCAGAACAAAGAGGACCCCCTCAAGATAAGATTAATCAAGGACTGAGATGGGTAATGTGGGGACTTATAGGAACCTTGGTCTTGTCGGCTTGGGTACAAGGAGATGTTCAATGGCTAGCACCTTCTAGTCATGCCCCCCAAAATTGGACATGGTCTCTCAAAAATTCACTTACTGGAGCCCTGATTGCCATTGTCACAACAGACAGACAGTCTGTCTTTCAGGTTGACTTGTGTGATATAGGACTGGTTACTGGAACCGTGGGAGTGTCTGACATTGCAGGACCATGTTCAGATCCCCCTTCAACCCCTGGCAGAAAACTGGGATGGTCTACACTTAACAGAAAAAGGGGTCTCCAGACCATAGATATTTATGCATGTTCTATAGGTAAAGACCCAAAATGTAATGGGGGGCCAGGATACCACTGTTACTATTGGGGCTGTGAGTCCATAGCCCCGTGGAAAAATAATGACCAGTATTTAGCCTTGGAGTGGTGAACAGCTAGTATCTCATGCTCCCTGGGACATTGTAAGCCCATTTGGTTAATGCTAAAACAATGGCAAAATCCATACAAAGAATGGGAGGAAGGTAAATTTTGGATGGTGGCACTGAATGCAAATGGAGAGGACCCAATGACAGACATCATCATTCAGCGAAGTCCGGTAGTGACACCATCCAAACCAGTAGAAAATCTTTATAAGATATTGAGCCCCCCAAAAGACAGTGGCCAACCCCACAGGCGCTGAGGAAATTCCACTTCCTTGGCTGAGAAAGAAAACACACACTCACCCCGCTGGCCGCCCGGGTAACACCCTACCCAACAAGGTGCCCATAACTGCCCCAGAGTCGCCAATCCAACCATACTTAAAAAATGCTGGATGCTATGTTTATGGTGTTAAATGGATCAAACAATAATGTTACTAATGAATGTTGGATGTGTCTAAACCCAAAGCCCCCATATTATATAGGAATAGCAATCAATGGAACTTACACTGAAACCAGCCAAGATGGGTGTGATTGGAAACAGATGAGGTTGTCAATAGGGGATATACATGGAAGAGGGTCGTGCGTTAAAAACTCTAAGGTCATCTCATCTTACTTGGACAGTGCTTGCTTTTACCAAACAGCTTCTACAGAACCTGATAAGTACCTAAGGGCAGAAAACAACTCATGGTGGACATGCACAGGAGGCATAACCCCTTGCCTCTCTGTTGCTGTCCTACAAAGGGAGCCCGAGGTTTGTGTGCTGGTCCATATCTTGCCCCAGGTATTTATATATGGTGGAGAACAGGGATGGGAATATTTGACTAGGAAAGTCCACCCTATAAGAATAAAGCATCCTCCTGCCCTAATCCCAGTACTGGCTATAGGAGGGATTGCAAGATCCACAGCCCTAGGAGCAGCAGCATTGGTGGTGCAAGATGCCAACTTTAAGGCCCTAACTCAACAGGTAAAGATAGACTTGGGCCTGATCGCTAAATCAGTATCCCATCTAGAAAAACAAGTGGACTCCTTGGCAGAAATGGTCCTCCAGAACCGCCAAGGTCTCGATCTCCTGTTCATGAAAGAAGGTGGGCTGTGTGCAGCCTTAGGAGAACAGTGCTGTTATTATGCCAATAAATCAAGAATTATTCGAGACACCCTGGCTACAGTGAACAACCATTTGCTAGAAAAATATGACAGATTAGAAGAAAATTCTGGGTGGTATCAGTCTTTGTTTAACTGGTCTCCCTGGTTGACTACCCTTGTTTCTGCCCTTGCTGGACCCCTGTTAATCCTGTTACTAGCTTTGACTTTTGGGCCATGCTTTATTAATAAACTTATGGCCTATGTAAGGGCCTGGGTAGGATCTGTTCACCTAATGGCTCTGAACCAACAGGCTAGGTACTGTTCAGTACCTCTTGATGAAGAAAGCCACATGTAAGATTACTTGCTTGCATAAAATCAGTGGGGAATGTAAGACCCAGATGAGACAGTGCAAGTAACGCCATCTTATTACAGGCCCTCCATCTTGTCCCTGTGGGTTTCAGGTTCACTACAGGACACAGAGTTCCCAGGATGTACTTGTTTATCTGTTAAGACACCAGGAACATACCATTGTTTCTGTGTAAGGAACATCCTGTTTGCTAAGTAAAGAACATCTGCAACCCCCCCAACCATCCCCTAACTGCAAAAATTTCACTTCTGTAGTTCTGCTTGCTAAGCACCCCTGCAGCCCCTATAAAACCTTCCAACCCCCTGAACTCGAGGCCCTCTCTAAGCCTGTTGCTTGGGGAGTGCCATCTGGCCAGACTAATAAAGGTCTGTTTTACTTTTCCAACTTGTCAGGTGTGTTCCTTCCTGGGTGTTCTTCGCTGCAGTCAGCTCCTTGGAGCGTTTGGTAAGGCCCTCGGTCTTATAGACCAAGTAATCCACAGTGGGGTCCAGAACTGAGATGATGCCCCAGAGGAAGAATAAATGTAGATTTATAAAAAAAAAAGAAGGTGGCGGGCACAACTTGAAAATGTTCATTTTACATTTACAGCTATAAAAGTGCTTGCATTCCTTCTGATTCTAATCTCAAGAGATCTCTGTAAATTGACTACAAAAGTTTTTGACCAGTCTTATATACAATTATAAACCTAAAAAACATAAAAGCAATATTATAATTCTATTTGGCCAAATATATTTGAGTGTACTCTACTTTCATAAATTTTCTTGTAAGTTTGTTTGTTGTCTGTTTGTTTGTACAGTTGAGCTCAAAATGTTTTTCCTATCTTTTCCTTTTCACATTTTGAAAAAAATTTTTTTCTCTTCAAAGATATTCACCTATTATGAAATTGGCTTACAGATAAATGCTATTAAGTTAAAGGCATGCCCTTCTTCCCCCAGGTTGCTAACTGATCAAAGTACCATCAAGATTTATTTGTCAAAGTAAATAGAGACTGTGGGTACTCCCTTCAGTGAATAAAGAAGTGGCCACCCAGAAAATAATTATTCTGGTCTTAATTCACTAAAGGGTCCACCTAGTAATTTTCATAATCTTATGGGAGACACACCACAGTAAATATTGTCTCAATAGGTTATTATAAATTGATTACATTGGTTATCATTGAAGTTTAAGTTCTAAATATGTTATTATAAAATGTTTACATTTGTTAAGTTCTAAATATGTTATTGTGATATGTCTACATTGGTTATCTTCAAAAGATTAATTGAACAAAAGAGTGTTATTAGAAAGATGCTTTTGGTACCAAACTACATTGAAGAACATAAGTTTTTATATAACTGTGGTATTTATTACTGCTCCTTTTCTGGTGTACAAAATGTATTCATGCTCTCTTATTGTATGGGTCTTCCAACATATTGTTTATGATAATAACCTTTTGATTCAGATATTTGCCTTCTCTTATGCTCCAGCCACCTATGATAATAAGCACACTTGTAAGCTGATTTAATTTCTTTAGATGAAATCCTGTACAAAGGTAGCTCCTTAGGAATTCAACCACAAGAACAACCATAATAGGCAATAATAACAGTCTTTTAACTATATTTTTATTCCAACATGCTTAATATCCAGGTAAAATTATAATAGTTGAGTTCACTACTCCTCTTACAATGCTAATGTTAATGACCTTCTCTTCTGGGTGCTCAACAACCAAAGTTTAGAGACCAGAACTAAAATGGTATCTGGGCTAAGATGACAGCCAATATTTTGGCCCTGGCCCTGCAAGGTCAACAACAATAACAAAAATATCCAGGTCATGAGGGAACCTTTTCCAAGATCCTGCATCTTTGGTGAGTAACCCAACCTCCTGAGCAGGGAGGTTGCTGAACACGAAATGGTAAAGATTGAACAAAAGTGTGCCAAAGGAATGCCACTTGGAGGAAAAAATCTCCCATGCTTTCGCAGAAAGCAAGATGGTGAAGCAAGGCCATGACATATCCTGATGGCTCACACTGACAGAAAAACTAAGAGGCTCTATGTATGGTTCTAAGACAGTGCCTGAGGAGACTCAACTGACCTTGTTAGATAGCAAGAGGTTGATTTTATTTAATATAGGTCTCACTGTAACTTGGTTTTAAACACCCAGTAGAAAAGTATAACAGAAGATAATATTTATTTGAGTTCAACAAAAGTTTTGAGTTTTTTAGCCAACATTAAAATTTTTTTATTACCTTTTAATCCTTTTACAGGCCCAATTAAGAGAAATTATGCTTATTATAGATGGCTAAGCCAGTCAAACACACTTTAGATCCTCACAATATATAGGGACAAGCCATTGTTGGGTGTGCTCACTTTTCCTAAAAACACCATCATATAAAGCAAAAAGAAAGGGAGATATGTTGGGAGCAATGCTACATAATTTTAGGGAAAAAATCATTTGATTAGGCCTAGTTTTCTTGCCTACAGGCAAGCTATGGCATTTTGAGACATCATTCGATTTTGGCCTCTGGTCACAACTGAGACCTCAAGGATCCAGTGATTCTGTGATACTCCAGGAAAAGATTACACCAGCTGAAGACATCCTGGAAGGAACAAAATCTTCATCTACTCAGTTCCTCATTGTTCTTGGATTGTTACACCTCGTTTATCCCGATGTACTGAACTCTTTGTTCTGTATCATTTGTTACATTTGTTTCTCCTGATGTACTGAATAAAAGGTGGGGTAAGCTGGGGGCTGTTGTCTTTGCTCCCAGAGCAGCACTGATCAGACCCAAAGCTCAGCTTCTTCTCAAAGTCTCATTTTTCTACCTTTCCTGTACAATAAGTTAATTCACCCTATGTTGCCATGGCTCTCAGGAGACTAGGATTTACTGCAGAGGTTCTAGTAATGTCCCCTTTCCTTCTTCTCTACAGAAATCAGTATGGAGATACCTCAAAAACTAGAACTGGAAGTCTCATTGGACCCAGCTATTCCCCTGCTGGGTATCTTAACCAAAGAATTAAAAGAATTGCACCAGAGTGGTGTATGTGCACCCATGTTCATAAAAGCACAGTTCATAATAGCTGAAACTTGGAAATAGCCCAAGTGTCCATCAACTGGAGACTGGAGAAAGAAAATGGTTTTTTTCTTATAAAATGGAGTACTACTCAGGAGTAAATAAAAGGGAAATTAGAAGTATTTACAGCTAAATGGATGCACATTGAGGTGATACTCTTAGGTGAAATAAATAGGGCACACGTGTAAATACTGAATAGTTTCTCTAGTGTGAGAAACTGAAAGTGTAAATAAGGACTAAAAGGTATAATACAGAATGTGAATAGGAAAAAAAGGGGCAAAGGGGAAGGGGAAGTGGGAGGGGGAGGGGAAAGGAAAGAAGGGAATGGAATTAATATGAGACAATGAAAAAATGTAAACAAAGTCTTTGTAAATAGGAAGGCATGGAGGGTTTGAAGGGTGGGCAGAGGAAAAATAAGAACCAAGAGAGATTATGTAAGGGGCAAATTTCCCATGCTGAATGCCATTATATTGTATACCTAAAATGTACCAATAAAAAAATTTTAAAAATAAAGTTATCAATGTACATGGGAAGTACTCTGATCTCATCTATTCTGTGTTTATCTTAGCAAAAAAGGTTGGTCTTTATTCACAAATCTTGTTGTATGCCTCTTTATTAAATTCCAATACACAGTTTGGAAAATGGCATCATGAAAGTCTCCATCCACTACATCCTCAAACAGTTCTGAAAGCTGTGTGAAAAATAGGGATGGGAACAGCCACTGTCCATGGAGGTATGAGAGTTTGTGGGGAATTTATAAGAATACTGTGTGAAAAGCACATTAATTGAGTTTCATTAAGTCATTTCAGGCATAAGACAATGCAAATAAATGCCAAGCCAGTAATATAATATAGTAGTGGAGGATATTAAGGTCAATAATGTTATTCTGTGGAGAAAGTGGGAAAGTAGCTTCATGGTAGAGGGAAGAGCAGATGTCAGGCTGAGGGCATAAATAAGAACAGTGACAAGAGAATGAAATGTACTTTACGGGAGCCCTCATACACTACATTGGGGATGAGGCAGGACAGGCAGAAAGGAGATGTATTAGAGGGCACTGCATTGCACACCAAGGACTCTGAATAGCATCCAGTACAGAGAAAGAAAGAGAAGGCACCAGTAAAGAGCAAGGAAGGCTGGGAGAGGATTTCCAACTGAGACTGCCACTCTTTCCTGGAATTTATCACAATATCATGGACTTCACCATTGCCCCTAGATTCAGAGTTCCCTCTGGGCATGAACTCACTGCAGCACTTGTATTACCCGGACCAGTCACAATCCTAAGAGTAGACTTGAAGTATGTACCCATGCCAAGGTAGATATCACCTCGGGACTGTGCTGCCTGCCTTTCCATGCTGCCCAGCTGTCCTGCATTCCAGGATCACCACTTGCCCTGGTCAGGAGCACACACTGCACATGTACCTTGGATTTCTGGGTAAAGGGCCATGTATAGCAGACCCCAGCGCAGTGTTGTGGATGTTGTCTCCGTCCCAGCAAGAAAGAGGTCCAGGGTGCTACGGATGAGGTTTTCTTCATCAAAACTTGAAGTGGTCTTGTCTGGGTGCTAGACAGGAAAGCACTGATTAAGGTTCATGCAGAGAATCTGTGGTTGATTCCATACAATACCAAAGGTTTGGTGGAAAGGGGAGAAAGATAAACTATATGCTTTTGATTTTGTCAAGGAGCAGCAATACCATTAGTGTCCAACTGCCCCTACTGCTGGAAGTTAAAATCAGTTCTCCAGCACTCAGTGTTTGAAAATCAAGACAACTGAGGCCTCACAGCTCTTTTTATAGGCACCACCCAGGATAGCAAGCAGACCATAGCTGACCCAGGCATTGTGTGACCATCCATCAACTCCTACCTAGAGCAGCAGAAGATTGGACTAACTGACCAAACAGATCCTGGATGAGGACAATGCTCAAAAGGAAAAGAGAGCAATAAGACCAACAGTCCATTGGAACTCCACCCCCTCAAGCTACATCCAGAAAGGACCAGAGGGATGATGGCTTTTTTCATCTACCATTGTAAGCAAGGTCACACCAGGCTGGAACAGTAACCACAGCCTGGTGTAAACATACAGAAGGTCTCTGGTGTGGGAACGGCACCTGAAAATCCCATAGACCTAAAACTGGATGGAGAAAATCATGTCTGACTGGATTCTAAGACTGTAGATATTGGAAGGAAACTACTCATACAGAAACACAGAAGAATTTGTTCTTCAACTGCATCATTAAAAAATTTTAACTAACTTTACTTATTCTCTTTCTTCCATCAGTTTTTTGGGGGGCATGATTTTTTTTTTTGGTACTGGGGATCAAACTCGGGACCTTGTGC